ATATTACAATTAAAGTAAAATTTGTTTCACATTGTAAAAATCAAACTTTTTTGGCATGGAGTTCTCTTTAGCTATGTGTTAACACAGCATCTGAAATCTGCTCTTGGGCAGTGGAGACAGAAGAAACTGACAGTCAAATAGTGTTTTGCTCTACTCAGTAGCCTCACTGCAGCCAGGAGTCTTTACCCACTATATTCTTCTCAGGTATTGCTAAGAGGTAATGCTTGGGTCATAAACCAAGTTTAAAAGCTCCTTATCTGAATAATGGTTTGCTATTAGAACACAGTCTTCTCTCCACTGGATGCATCCCACTTACTGTGCATATGTTATGAAGATGATCAGCAAATGCTAAACAAATTAGATGATGTACCTCACTGTTCAGAGAACCCTACAACAAATTACACAGATTCTGGATTTCACATCATGTGCAGTCTGGTTCAAGACATCACATCATATGCCCAGGGAACTAAGATTACTGGGGTATCTGTACCTAGAAACCAGTACATCTGACTTATCACCTGAGTACAGAGAACATACACATACATGTGTATGCCTATCCTAAATTGGGAGTACTGAGAATGTGAAGAGCAGATACCAGTAATATGAAATCAGAAAATATGAGCAAAGGTAAGCACATGGCAAAAGAGAAATAAAAGTCCAACTTCTATTAGGAACAAAAAAATGCATGGAAAAAAATCAGCATATAAATGCATAGATGCTGAGCTCATCCAATTTTCTTTCTTTTTAATAGTCTTAGCATCTTCAAACTAGTAACTAGAGTTGTCAAGGAGTAAAAGTAATAAGTACCATACAAGAAGAGAAAATCTGTATGTAAAGTCTTCATTACCAAAGTGCTTTAATACAAAGATAATTTCCAAATAGAGTTGTTTTCTCAGCTCTTAGTCAACTAAAAATTTCACATAAGAAAACTATGCCACTGTAAAATTCAGGCTATTTTTTATTACATGGTAGTTGAGAAGCCATACAGCAACTTCCGCACTGGGTTCTTGTAAGGATCTGGAGAGTCTAGCCTTTTAGTTAGTATTTCAATGTCATTTAGGAAAAAAAGAATAAAATAAATTATTTCCAAGAGTGTTTTAAAGGTTATTGCAAATTTATCCATTATGCAATCACAAATCAACATTTTAAAACCATCTGCTTGGCTAAATTGGTTTTCATAGCAGCTAGCTAACATAACTTAAGCCTGCAAATCAAATTTTTGCATAGATCTGAACTTACAAGTATATAAAACTTTTATTGAAAAAATAGTAAGGGATTATTGACTGAATTTCAATGGATATCATGGTAATTTTGGGAAGACAAGGGAAGGAAAAGGAGAAGAATGTGTTTAGGAGTTAAAAAATAATTAATTTCATTTTTCAGCAACTTTTTTTGCAATTCCCTGAAGGGTGGTTTTATGTCACGTTTCTTGTACACATATAACTTTCCATGCATACATGAAGGAAATTGCTGCTACATGCATTTTAGCTTTTGTTTATATATGACAAGGAATATTTTAATTAGTTGACTTTTTTATCAAGTAGAAGAATAGGCTTTAGAAAGAAATAATAAATCTAAATTACACAATAAATAAACAGTGCACTACATAAAATAGAAGTACATACCTGCCAAATAATGCTCTTTAGAATACTGATTGAGGGTTAGTTATTAGTAGGCAGCCACCACAACTTACTGAGATTATTATTTGTGTCATGTGTGTCACAAAGAATAAAGAAAAAGTTGTTAGAATATGCTTTTCTGTATTCAGATAAACTATTTATTGCACATCTTTACTATGGCAGAGCAGCAAAAAGCTACTTACCTTTAAAACAGGAGAATTCAGCTCTTTAAAAAAATATTCCAGTAGCTTTTGTCCTACTTAAAACGCTTATTTCTTAATATACATTCTTTGAAATGTAAGAAAGAAGCTTATCTTGTGCAGACTGAACCAGGGGCTCAGATGCTTTGGAAATGAATGATCCACTGGATATGGCGCTAATGACTGGACATGGCACTTACTGACATGGTCTAGATGACAGGACGATGGTCAGTCAAAGGTTGGACTCAATGACCTTAGAGGTCTTTTCCAACCTAAATGATTCTGTGTGATGCTCACTGGGCATATTTTATTAGACAACTGTAAAATACAGATTTGTTAAAACAGTTGCTATAAACTTTGAGTCCTCAGAAGAAACTCTCACCAGTTTACTGAACTCTCTTAACATGATATAAGACTTGTACAGCTTCTCTTACTCCTATATTTTCAATCTAGTGGATTAAGTTTCCTAAATCCATGTGCTCATCAATGGCACCATCATAAAAATATGGTTCCCTGTTACCAAACCCCCCAAGTTCTGCCTTTTCATGCCTTCTCCTCTCTCAGTTTGAAGGACTGTCTTTTTCATTAGATGTTGTATGAGAAAATAGCAAGGCCTCAAGTAACTGTATCCCAACTAACTCTAGAAAAACATGCCACATTCTGCTTACAGGATGTTCTCTCCCTCCCACTTGTAGATGTACCTGCAGAAAGACCAGCAGGACAGGACTAAGGAGAGAAGAGACCTTGAGCCCTTCCCCCAAACACCCCAGCCAATGGCAGGGAGATTGGATATATTTTTTGACATATGCACCCTTAAAAAGAATTCCTATAACACACATATACATTATATTGAGGTATTTTTTCCTATTTCGTGATAGGTGGTGGATGGCAAAAGGGATAACCAAGCCTTTCTTTCTACACTGGAGTAATCTATGGCGGGCTGACACTGAGTGGACATATACAATGAGATCAGCATGACCAATAAAAACTGGATAGTAAGGAAATTATGGTTCTTTTTCACTAACATACATCATTTCTCATCTATGCTTTTGCTTTAGCTGTGTATCCACAATATGCTCTGCTACATTATTTATTTTTTTCAATTAATCCTTGCTACATCACCCACCTTGACACTACTTTATTAATGTGATTCCTACTCTAGGACACGTCATTTAACACACGTGCCCCTACGCCTCCAAGCAAAGGGTTCTACCTGCAAAGGTTAGTTGTCTTTGACAACTGCAGTAAAGGAAGAGATATCTCTGCAAGGACAGTTTAAGACAGAATGACTACCAGGGTAGTACCTGCCTACGAAAAGTGATAGATTTCAAAATACATATTTAATAACTGAATAAATTAAGACTGTGAACTGAAATCATAATCCGGAATGTAAAGCAGAATTAGCTGCTGCAGAACCACACTACAGTAGTCTCAAAAGGCACAGTAAGCATGCCGCCTACTTGTATTTGGGATATAAAACCAGCAGAAAAATTGCAAGCAGACCCCAGAAGACACAGCAGAAATATCTCATTTTATGGAGATGCTTCTAATTTTTTCCTCGGAAAAAACTGTCAGACATTTATTAATTACACGCCTTCTGAGCCATACAGTCACAGAATACAATTCTAAGCTAAAACATGCCATTTTTAGCTATTAAACAGAATGTCAGTTAAACTGCTTAAACACCTTCAAGCATAAACACATTTAAGACACAACACAGGCAATGGCGGTACTAAGAAAGTTCAGTGCCAAGTGCAAGACAATGAGTTTACAACTATCCTGTTCTTCACAGGGCAGCATTAAATATCCATGCACAGCACTATTAACTATTGGGTTTTGTAGTCTTATCTGAATTTGTAATCAGAAAACAGAAAAACATCGATATCACTGCTTCTCTGAAATTTTTATTTCCTCTGTCAGTATCTTCAGAGCTGACATCCTTATTACCTGCTGATCTGGCCAATTTCCATAGTACGCTAGCCAAGGCATAAGAGCACACGAGAAAACATGATGGCTTGAACATAGTGCAGTGTTCATGAAGGCATGCAGGCAGAGAAGCTAGACAGAGGATTTACAGCCCAGCAAAATAGGACAAGAATTTTCTTTGCAAGAAGTTTCTTGCAAATTCAAAGCCAGGAGTCTCAAGAATGTCTGGGTACGCTTGGTCTGCAAAATAGGTATGAGAATCAGAGAAAAGTTCTTACTAATTTCTCCTCAACTGTATCAGTATGTTTCAACATGCCCTATGCTCTGAAAAACTTAAACCAGAAAGATAAAGGTGTTAAATGATCAGCATTTATTTTTATATTGAGAGATGTCTGGAGAAGCTGATTACCAAATTACTCCTTAAAACCAAGGACATTTTAGTTTCCATTATAATAAAGTTAATCACTCATATAAATGTAATAATCTAATACCATCTAATAGGATAAAGACAGAAAACTCCACTAGGTCAATTATTTCATCAGTGCTCTTGTACTAAAGTCAGTATTCAAGAATTATAAATGATCTAGGTCTTTGTGAATAAAATGGTTCTTGAAGCAGCTCGCTGTATAACTTTGAAAACAAATCCCATGATATATAAAACAAATATAGTGTTGCATATTGAGCAGTACTAGAGGCTACCAAACCAACACATTTTCCAGCTGCTGAGAAAATTAACAAAGAGGTAAAATTGCCCAAAAGCTGTTATCATGCCAACAACGTGAAATTCTCTCCAGCCATTGCTGAATAAAATGACCTGAAGATTCCAAAAATAAATGAAAAGCAACCCATAAACTGAACAACACATTTTGGCAAAGCAAAACCCCAATATATTACCGAAGACAACCTAAATATGGGGTATTAAAATTGAAACATTACTCAGTCATGAAGTTTCTTTACATACATCTTATAATTCATTACCTAACTCTATTGTTAAAGGAAATTCCATTTAATATCTTGTCAGGAAAAAAAATGAGGCTTCTGTTGCCTTCGAGTGCTACAGAAAACTCACAACACATTTTTGGAGCTCACTCCACTCCAAAGCTAGTAGAAGCTAGTATTTCCAGAAGTTTGCAACACAGATTACCTTTGAGATCAGTCACAAGAATGCAGAAAAACACAAATAGAAAACAATATATTTTACATTAGGGAAAAATACCTATGAAAATATGCTAAAAAAATGTAAAATAAATATTACCTGGAACAAGCTCCATAACGATATAAATAGGCTGTCGTTGTGTGCAAACTCCTATAAGTTTTACAATATTAGGATGATCATATTGTTTGAGTATTCTGCAAAACACACAGTAAGTTTATTATGTTAACAAACCTTATTGTAGAAACTGACTAAATATTCTACAAAAATATCTTAAACCCTCAATGTTATTTTAATGGAAGATGTCATTACTGTTATCATAAAGAAAAAATCAACCATCATTCTGTTTGAAAGGGGCATTCTGATTTACTAGTAAATCAAGATTAAACACTAGATAATTATCATAATTTTACTATTTGTCTACATAACATTTTTTCTATATAACTGAAAAATGTCCTGCCAGGTATGCAGCTTCTCAAGAACCTTTGTACTTAAAATAGGATTTCCGAGGTGGATCAGAAGCAGAGCTACATTCAAAAAGTATGCACAGCATGTATCTCTACCTCCTTGCTGCAACTTTCAAAAGCACACTCATTCTGATTTTACTTTGAGAGATTAATTAATACAATATGTTTTAGAAGACTATAAGGACAGCAATTTTAATTTTGAGAATTAAATGAAAACATTTACATCTTCTTACACAATGCTGCAATAAGATCATTTGCAGCGTAAAACAGCATGCTATGATTTGTAAGTGAAATGAAGAGCGAGAAAGAATGCTAGAGACTTTGGAACTTAAATGTTCCTTCTGATATTTGCTGACTCAAAGGACCTCCTCTTTTTCCCTTTTATTTTTTCCCTAGAACCAAGACTAAAATACTAACCTACCCAGTACTTATATATTTAGTGGAATATAACACTTTTTTTTTCAGACAATTTTTTCCCATTAGTGTTAGGCTGCTTAACAAATGAAACATCTCTGCAGTTGCCAAGATACCAACTGTTTAAAATGATTCAATAGATAGGGCAGTTGATCTTCATTTTATAAACAGAGATACTATCTGTCACTTTTTCAAACTGATCATACTAGTTTGGGAGTAAAAAATTAAAATACATGTAGCTTCACAGTAAGGAGGAGCAAGTTAATTTAAAAATTATGAAATTGTCTCAATATACCCATCTACCCTGAGGCCTTAGAACCGAACTATCTACAACAGCCAATATTCTGGATACTTCATATTTTGTGGCATGACTGTAATTTGAAAAATCAGTATGCAATCACATGTTGGTTGACACAGCACGAAATATCTCTCCTGGAGGGAACTCTTCTTACAAAGAGGAAATTACTAAATGGGGTCTATATGGCAATCTAGACACATCTGATCATTGCTATTAGCCATGCATGTAAGGTAGGAGTTGTATCTGGTATAATCACATTAAAATTAAGAGCATCTTACAGTCTTCTCATCCCAATCCTCACAGCACATCTTATAAGAAGTTCTAAATGAAAGCACTTAGGACAACGAAGTTGTATTTCAATAGCATAGCTTGCTTTGCCAAAGAGATGGTTTCAGCAAGAGCAGATGCTATGCATTCACAACTTAAAAATGCCTACATTTAGTTACAAGGTTGACACTTGAAGAATGCACCAAGGGAGAGAAAGTAAGGAAGAGTTTAACTACTGATTCTTTGAATTTTTCTGAAGGTCAGATTTTGTAAAGCCGTCTAGCAATAAAACTTGAAAAAAACCCCGTGCAAGTATTTATTTCAAGTAATTTTAGACACCTACCTGGCTTCTGACAGAAATTTTATTTTCAGTTCCTGAGGAAGATCTTCTTTGCAAGTTTTTACAGCAACAGGCGTTTTATCCTTTAATGTTCCTTTATATACCTCACCAAAATTGCCCTGAAATTGGGGGGCAAAGAAATCATTCTAAGCCAATAAAATCTTCACAAATTGCCAGAAAAAATAATGCAGACAACTAATGTAACTGGTACAGAATTCTGAAATGTGTTTACAAAGTCAAATAAGGTTTTCTTTCAGTATCTGCCCCTAACAAAAGCAGTTCATACAGACATAGTACGTCTATTACATGGACACAGCATATGAGTTGTAGTTTGACCTTGCTGGAAACAGGAAAAAAAAACCATTAATTGTGCAATTACCATTTTCCATAAAATCTCTTAGCAACTTTTAAAGTCAATT